ATTTAATAATAAGAAATATTAACTTCTATTTAAAAATACAAAGATCTCATTGTATTTAATTTCAACATATGGTCACATCCGACACGTTTTGAAACAGTGAACTGAGAAAAACTATTCACCGTTCATTCTTAAAAATTTTGGAAGCTAAAATAGTTTTGGCTGCCTCGTTTGTCTAGTGGTCGTAAACGCAAGTTCGAATCCCGGGTGATTTTTTGCGTTTTGCCTTCAAAAAATTATCCGTAGCAGCCCGGAATCAGAAAATTGACTACGTTTCGGGGTGGCAGTTGGCATGTTGCCCCTGTGCCTTAGAATGCACGTAAAGCCGTTAGTCTTCTATATTTCTTCGGACTATGAAAATGAGTGAATAGAGTGCACCTGTGTTTGCGCGCACCTTTGTACACTATAATCCTGTCTTGCACATATGGCTAATAACCGTTGAGACTAACCTCCATGAAAACCTCCAAAAATTCGGCCTAGAGAGTATATTAATAGGAAGTTATAATTTGAGGCTTCTGCGTTTATCACTTCGCCAACCGGGCTTGGTTGGCGACCAAGTGTCTTAAGTAATAATACCCAGAGAGATGACGATCAGCGACTAAGTCGAAGAGATAACGGTGATTGTTGCGGAAAATCATAGTCCCTTATCGAGTAGTAAAATATCAACAAGTTTCTAAACTACCACACTCACATAAAGGCAGTAGCCCATGTAAATACCGAAGCATATATTCATCGGTACGGCAACAAACACACCAGCTTTCTTGTACGCCACATGCCCACTGAGGATTCCCCCTCCCAAAGCACCTTTCACGATATGAGCCACTGATCCTACGAATCTGTAAAAAGACTTATTTTTCTTTATTTCATTTTGCGGATAATTAAACTGAATAGATGCGATACATTACTATTTTTGTTTTTGTTATAATTTTTAAAAAATAACTTTATTGTTTACGACAAACAAATCCGCGCCGGCTTCACCTGGATAGATACGCATAGACGCTAGGTGTCTGGTCCAATGTTATGAAATTCGCCTACCAAGAATGAAGGTTACTGCACTACGAGTAAACCAATGAGTGAGCCAAAGAAAGCACCGAAAAACTGGCTATGTTGTGCCTATGCACGAGACTTGTAAGATTGATTCTCACCATATTAGTGTCACCAATAAGATTCTTAGTACGACTTTCCATTAAGTTTAAAGCCTCTAGGTGTCATTTTTCAGACCCAGTCTATTCAATACTCTATACAAGATCAGATACGCGCTTTACGTTCTGTAAGCAACTGTCTCGGCGTGCAATATCACTGCACAATTGCAGGGACTCCTAACTTTCTTGCAGGTACCCTGCTCCCTGAACTCAATGAACCGCCAAAAGTGCAGGTTAGAGACAACCTCAACCTCCAGCAATTGAAGGTGGTCGGGGAATCCCAACGATATATACTGGAAAGAAGGAGCCCGTTGAATCTCATAAGATCGGCATCACTCTTGACTGACTGCCTGTAGTGAGAGTTTCAAACGGTCAACCATAGCTTCACTTTCGGAATTGATTACAACCCGACTGGTCTGCGCATTCAGCTGATATCTCTCCATAACTATGCTGTCATCTGTGTATCCATAGATATCGGGGATAAGCAAGTCCTTGATATGTACCAGGAATAAAGTTGCGGAGAGAAAGGACAGCTGAGGCACTCCGCCATTACACAAGCATATCTTAGAAAAGCAGCTTTCATTAACAACTCTGAGGAGATGGTTCATTCAAAAAAAAAGTCCTTCACCCAGTAATATGTATGTATAATATGTACGCTGAAAGACTGCTTAAAAGACTAGCGTGTCAAACCCTGTCAAAGAATTTCGAGACATAATATGGATCTAAGACGTGGTCCCTTGTGCTGACCGTAGTCGATCACTGAGCTATAAAGGGGACTATCCTCGGAGTTTCTCAGCCTAATAGACTTTGTAATGGGTATATCTGCCTTAGAGCCAGAGTAGCGAACATAGCGCAACATATCAGTAAACTGAAGTGGCGATGGGCACGCCATGTAACTCGAAGAACCGACAACCGATGGGGAAGAAACATTGAGTTATATGTACTACGTACTAGAGAAGCCATTCCAAACAAAAATTGTATCCTACTCTATGTCTTCGCGCATGCGCGGGAGTAGTAGTCACGCATGCGCGAAGACTTTAATATAAAATAAGATATTAATATAAAATAAATATAAGAATCTAATATAAAATATCTTAATTTAATCTAAACAAACATATTTCTAAATAAAATGTAATAATAATTATTTTATGGAAATCACAAATCTTCAATTTACGCAATATTTAGTTTGTATGGATTGCACTACAGTTCAGTTGAACATAGTCAATGCTCGGAATGGCTTCTCTAGTACGTAGTACATATAACTCAATGGGAATAAAGATTATCGAATAGTATCCTCGTACCAGTAAGCTTCGCTTTTAATGGGCTATATAGGAGCTGAGATGATATGAGTATAGTTCATGTTATTTAATTATATCTATATTTTTTTAGGTAACCTGCACACTGAATTTTTTCTTCATTATAACAAATATAAATTGAACAAGAACAAACATCGAGACCCGTAACGATTATTTGTAGGCCATAGAAATACTTGTTCCGTGCGGGATTCGAACCCGCGACCCTTAGGGCTGCAAATCAATTGCTAAGCCACTGCGCCACGGAGCCGTTAATATTGTCTCTATAAACACTTGAAATCGAAATTGAATAGTAAATAGGTTCACTAATACTTCGACTCAGCAAATAGGTAGAAATGTGTTAATTAAAATATCAGGCGTTACTTTGCGTAAATCCATTATATTAAAGACGTGAAAATTAATTCGCTGAGATTCGCGTGAAAAATTTTCACACGGACTTTAGCTCATTAATTTTCACAACATTAAGACGTGCTACCCATTTTTATCATATTACCTTAATATCAGAACATAAAATTAAATATTATGTGTTAATATCGCTGTAAAATTAATGGTAATTATTTTATATTATTTGAAAATAGAGTCTAAAAAAATTGGTTTACCCAGTAGGTTTCGGTGTGTTTCTGTGCTGAACATAGTCGTAGGCCTTTTCTTCTGCTTCGGTTAGTGCCACCAGCCTAAACTTTTGTCTCCCAGTTTCTTGTGTTCTTGCTTGTGACTAAATTAACATCGTTCATATATGTAGTAACCGTGTTTTTTATTCACATACGCTCACTTACAAGCTCTAATGAATAGTCAATTACAATTAAAAAAAAATACATTTTAACAAATAACAGTTTCAATCAAGATCAACATTTAAATAACTAATAATCATGGATGAATATAATACTAAAATAACATTAATTTGTTTAAATTTGCTTTAATTATGATCTTATGAGTTTCAAATGACCTTGAAATTTTATGAAATTTATTTTCATTCATTATTTACTTTTTCATTTAGCTTTACAGTTCATTTAGCAACAATTTTTTCATTGTTCTTTCTTTATGAGCCACAGCTTGATAAAACCCCTTTCAATCATTTAAACGAATGTAACCTAACCTTAAAAGATTTACGCGAACTCTCCTCATTGCGAATTGGTTAGTTTAAAGCGAATGCCCTTACTACTGATTACCAGTGTAAGGGATTTCGGTTCGGTATTTTCGAAAAGATAAACCACATTTTTGTATCTATATTTTAGTCTAATTTATTAATAAGTCAGAGTACGGCGTAAAGATGAGATTATTTTTTTTAGAACAATTTGTACATCCTGTCTACATCCCTAATAATAAACAGCTTTTATATTTATAGAGTAAAAACAGTAGTATGGTTCTAGTGGTTGTAGTGGTTCCAGTGGAACTGCTGATTGTTTTTGCAACTTACAGACAAGTAGCACCGGTGATCGAATTTGCTTGCGTTACTTTTTACGACCACTACTAGGCCATTCAAATAATGCACTTGCTACAATGCGTTATTCGAATAATCCGCCCATAATTTAGCTTATTATTAACAAGCAAATATCGGTGGACATGTGCGTAATCCAATGACCGAAATGTTAAAAACACGCTTATATGCCAATTGATTTCCCTTTTATTAAGTGATAAACGAACTTACAGTTAACCTAATGTTAAGATGCTGCCGCAACCAATTTCAAATAAAGAAGCCTGCAGATGCTTTGTCGCCTCTGAGGACTAAAAGACTTATATGGAATGCTTCACAGCCTGCAATAATACTGGCTGTCTATACTCTATAGACGGGAACACAGCTGTGCACTGCTATTTATACCAAATCTTTTATAATTGCAAGAAGTCAAAAAAATATATGAATAATTACAAATTACATACCATTCTATAACTTAAAATAAACCATTCCAAAAATCTTTCTATGTACAATTTAATATAATTTAATTACTCAAAAACTATTCAAGTTGACAGAATTATTTTTAGATGACTTCTGTCTCGTTCCTTCTATTTTTCATGCTATAATGCCCGTCCTTAAATTAAACATGCCAGTGTTGATTCAAATCAAGAAATATTTATAAATCATTTATACTAACTGCTTAATAAATAATGCAAAAACATCGCGAAGGGCTGTGGAGTAACATAATGTAGCAGTGCTGTAAAATCGAAGCACAAGCAAAGTGTTCTAACAAATATATGAAGAGAAGGTAATTTAAAGTCGTTAATTAGATAATTGTCGACGTTTTTCCAACGTAAGCATAAATACAACGTAAACATAATCGTTAATGACTACATTTGAGGCGAAATAAATACCATGAAAAATAATCAGCAATAAAATGTAAATAGGTAAAGGCATTAAGAATTGCACACGGGTGCCGTTGAAGATTTAGTGCTTCAAATTGATTCTACGCTCTAAAAGAAAAAAGCATCTCATTATTAATGTAAGGTAAGGTGAACTTACTTAGTTCTCACACATACGTTATGCTGTGAGCACTAATATAAATTTATAAACAAAAGATTAAGATTAAGACTAAGTTAACATTAAATTATGAAAATGTTGCCTCCTTTATTATTTGGATTGCTTTTAGTAGTTAATCATCTAACACTAATTAGCTCAGTGAGTAATCTATTATTAATGTAAGTATCCTTTTATTTTAAAAATTACCAAAAATTGCAATATTGCAGGAATCAGATCACGATGAAAGTTTTGACGAGAAAATTGATAGCACAAGCCGTTTAGAAAACGAAAATGAGCATGTACTATCACTAGTACAAAATACCCAAGATGAGATCCTTGATGTAATTGAACCAGAACGTGTACAACGATCTTTTGAAAGTTCAACGCAAAGTATCGTTAGTGGCGAATTCAAAACAGCTGAAGAAAACCTAGATATTAAAAGTTCTACTATAGATGACCGTTTAAAAATGTTACCAGGTGACGAAAATCAAAGATCTGATGAAGCTTCGAGAAATTATGAAAAGTCGAGCTTAATTTATGACAAAAACAACGAGATAGGTAGTGAAAGGTCTATAACTAAAATAGATGATGAAGAACTTAATGTTAATAGTCATGTAACCGATAAATATTTGATTCCTGATATTGTAGATGAAAAAACTAAAAGTGACGATGAACCAAGCAATAAAAACCTTAATTTTGAAATGGAAGTCACTAATGAAAATAGCAGCGAAGGTATCACAGATGTATTACCATATACCAGACGCTCTATGACATTTGATACTCAAGATGCACTTTTAGACAGTAAAGCTAGAATGGCAGGAAGTTCAGATGAAATTATCAAAGATCCTGGAACGACTGTAAATTCAGGCTTCGCAGTAATCAACACAGCTAGACCTTTTGGTAGTTATTAATTATTTTATTTTAAACCAAACTATATTTAATCCCACAATATACCCCAGTGTAATATGATATCACAAAACCGTGAAAGCAACATAAATTTAAGAAAACTATGCCCATTATATGATTATGCACATCTTTAAAAAAAGTTTACATGGAAATAAAAAAGTAATCATGCTGATGGTTATTTAAGCTGCGTTTAAAAATAATGCAAGTTTAATCTACAAAAATATTTCTCAATATAGAGCTCAAAAACCATTAGTTGTTTAAATGTTATCCATAAATTTATGATATTTTTAAAGTCTTATAATAAGTTATATATAATACTGTTCATTTTGTTTTAGGTAGCCAGAGAAGTCATTTCGATGAATCCGTCAGTCCTTTCGTCGTTGCTACTGTAAGTCTTCCTGGACCAATTTTAAGACCAACTTCGGTATCGTTACCAAATCCGAATTCCTTACTATCAAAGATAATTTCTAACCAAGATTTAAAACCTTCGAATGAATATTTAAGGTCTACTGAAATTGCATTAATAATTAACCCGCAAAATCCAATTAGAAAATCGTATGATACTTTCACGTCATCTGAACTGAAGCCTTTGGAAGAATTCAATTCTAATCTTTTTTCTAATGCATATCCATATGCCTATAATCCAACAACTACAACCACAACTCAAAATCCTTTGGAAATACGTCACTCTCACGACCCAACAGAATCGTTTTCAAAATTTCATCCATTGTCGGAAAACTATAGAAGTCCTGTGATTACATACGTTGCAGATAATCTGCAAACTTTTCATCCTCATGCATTCAAGCCACGTGAAACAAATATACCACCATACATTCCTAATTTTAGACACATTTCTCCTCAATCGTTCTTCTATCATAGAAATTGTTTCTCCTGTTCTTAATATTATATTCAAGTTCCCATTATATTATGATAATGCAGAGAAATATAATTTAGCATAGTGAACCCCTAGTTTAAACATAATAGTAGGGGTTCACTATGCTAAATAATTAGAATATCTATATACAAAGATTTACGAACAGGCAACACAGAAGGTTCATAGGACAAGAACAGGAAGAAAACGCTGTGGCGGACGGCACACAATCGTGTCTTACGAATATAAAGTCGGTGTATGAACGTGAACGTGCCGCTTATCTGCATTAATCCCTTCTGAATAGATATGTTTTAGACAAACTTTAAGTTCATCTAAAAATACAAAATTTTTGATGTCTTATTTTGAAATAAAATACGCATTTGAGATTTCCAAAAAAAAATTTAATAAAATTTCTTTAATTTATTTATTCTTTATTTTAAAAACGTATCCCCTACACGAGGATTTTTCCTGCATCATGGAAGCAGTTTACATACATAAATTGTACCAGTCTTGATAATAGCTGCTTTAAGTTAATATCTTGAAGTCAAAATATTAACTTAAAGTGACTAAGATCAGACCCGCTTTCTAGCGGTTTTGACTAAGGAATCTAATCACAGCTTACACATGCTTTGCCATCAGTAATCTCGGCATATTACCTGATCGGAGAAGCTTGCGCATTGCCGTAGGAATCCAACTAGAGCGGCGACTCAACAGTAAGTCACTTAACTCATCAGTGCCACTCTGATAACAGCGTCTATAAGTTAGGATTCCATGGACTAAGGACGTAAGAAAAGTGATGGAATGTTTTCTCGTCACGATTCTTTGAACGATGTCATCCGAACAGCCCTTGTCTCTATAAATGGTCCCTCGGTTTTATAGCCTTGTGGAATATTTAAAGACGATGGCAGGTGAATAATTAATTATAATTCCACGACAAGGATCGAAATGGATAAAATTATCCCGGCCGAAGTGACCAGAAAATGGTGCATTGGTTTAAACGACCAACTGCTGGTTGGGAGTTACCTATTAAAATGTTGATTATACGTAAATTAATGGACTGTATCACTGTAAGGTGCGGTGCAAATTTACTATTTCGCGATACTGCAAATGCCCTAAATTCGTGCTACAGGAAGGACGTGAATGAATGCATGTTCATTCACCTGGACTTCTGATAATCTGCCTCGTGTCTCAAGGGCTGCGGCCACGATGATTGGATGCCGGCTTTCTTCGCAAGCTTCACAGATAATCGCGAAATATTGGGTTATAGTAAATGTCTATACACTCCTCGATATTTTTGTATAGTTTAATATCTAAATTACACAAAAATAAATGACACAAGATTCGATTGGTTTCGTGTCTTCTGAACTTATGCGAACTCCGTTAACACCAGAATGCACACGCTAAAGGTATAAATGGCGGTAGATAGGAAACCCGGAACGCGCCCCCCTTCCCAAAGGGGGTCGCTTCCGATGCGGCGAAGAGGCTATAAAGGCCAGAGCCAGTCCCACAGGTGGTGTTTAGTGGGTAGGCACTTCTTAGCGAGTCCCACATAACTATGCAGCCGGCTGCGTGGTATGCTATAAGCATTCACCACCGCTTCCGGAGAATAGCCTTGCATTAGCCGCAAAAAAAAACCGGAAACGGGCTTTGCAGTACTCTAATTGGATAATAATTAACGAATCTCATAAGTGTTAGGCGGTAGTGCAAAAGTAGCGCAAACAGCAGGAGACCCGTAGTTATATCGTTGGTTCCTTGGGAGAGAGCTAAAGCCCTAGTGTAGTATGTTATTTGCGTAGGCACTTTGGCAGCTTCTCATCTCAGGGGTACCTCGTTTAGAGCCTGAGTGGCATCACAGGCAGCTGAACTAAGTGACACAGAGAGTAAGTGAGAGATGACTACATATTTGTGCCAGTAAAGTTCCTGAAGGAATCCGCGACTGGTCGTGGCTGCTTGTGATAAGAGGGCTGGTTCTTTTCTCGCCCAAAGGTTAAGTATAGCCATTCAGCAAGGAAACGCAGCCAGCGTTCTAGGCACGATACCACGGGGAGTAGGACTGTATGACAATTTAAGGTTTTTGGGTTCTTTACTCAAAGGGTAACCAACGGGACCCTATTACTAAGGCTTCGCTGTCCGTCCGCCTGTCTGTCAGCGAGCTGTATCTCATGATCCATCATAGATAGACGGTTGAAATTTTCACAGAATGTGTGTTTCTATGGCCGCTATAACAAATAATAAAATTTAAATTAATTAAAAATTAAAGGGGGCTCCCCTCCTAAAACGTGTGTTGAAGTACGGAACCCTTAATGCGCGAGTGCGACTCGCATTTGTCCGGTTTTTGTTTTACTATAAAAAAGCTATTTAAATACTTAAAGTTTTTTTTTAATATTTCAATGTGAAGTGAAATTTAATAAATAAATGTATGATTAATAGATATTATTATATTTAATCATATATAGGCGTAACGATTTGTAGAAAATAATATTTTAAATCTCAATTACATTACCAATATTTTTCAGTCAAAACTAATTATTTAATTAAAATTTTTGTAATTAAACAATTACATTTGTATATATTTTATTTATTAAGGTTACTTTTAATTTTGCTATAGGAGCCGTTGTTCATTTACATAATAGTTAAGAAATTAAATATGCATTATAAAACTTTCCAATTAAATGGTGCAAGAAGAGGGAAAAATGATAACAAGAAAAGGCTACTCGTAGCAATATTTCCGTTAGATGATGAAAGGTATGTGGTGATTTCAACTTTAATTGTAATATGACATTTAACGCGAGTACATTTTTGGACTAGCCATCTACCTAGGACAAGTTTTTATAGTGTACGATTGTGTGCAAAAATACAAACACTATTTCCTATATCTGATAGTTCAATGGAATGGCAATCCGAAACTAACTATACTTAGAAACTACATTGTCAATTGTGACTGCTAACATTCTTTTTGTTTGTTCAATAAAATGAGATTTAATTAATATTATTTTTTCAGATACAAGCAATGGGTGAAATAGCTGGCACATACACCAATTGAAAAGATTCACATGTTAAAACATAACATATTTGTGGCAAACATTGCATTTGAACCCAACTATAACGAACTGTTATTTCATCAGTGGACTTAATTTAAACTTCCACAATTATGTGTATGTTAATTAGGTTTCATTTACATGTAGCAAAAGATAATATCCCTCTAAAGTCACATTTTGGCAAGAATTAGTTTATATAACTAAATCATTATTTTATTCATCTACAAATATTAGATATAATGAGCACTTATTTTGAAAGCAACAATTAGTAAACGATCTCTGCGAGTAGCATTTACATAGGAACCTCTGTAAAGAAGCCTAGCGATTTGTACATAGCATTTGTTACACATAAAAGCAATTTAATCCAATCAGTCTTAAAAAACCCATTATTTTTACCCTTAAAAAAACTAACGTTGAAAATAAGCATCCAGTCGCAGACTATTTATTTTACAGTATAGCAATATTTGTTCAGTGCGGGAACGAAGCCTCGGTCCTGCAATGCCGCAGCCAAACGCTTAGCCACTGCGCTACGAAGTCGTCATTTATTTTTTACTTAATTAATTACTAGTATAATAGTGTTTCTATACATATTTTTGTATCTAATAATTGTAGAGATATAATTACAAATTGCTGTGTGTAAAATACACTGATTTCTTATCCTCATCGGCATTTTTACTCAATCCCCACGTTAAAAATTTTATTTCTCATAAATAATTCAGTATAGAGATCCAACTTTTATTATGTTAAAATATCGATAAAGAATATACCGATAAAGGTTATATCGATAAAAATTTTCGAGTATATACATTTACCCCACTATTGTAATTCGTCAATGTTGTCAGCACTGTTTGTCAAAACTAAATATCATATCTTGATGTTGGTAGAGTAGCTTGGCGTAATTTCATACATTTATTTTTACTATGGTAGTCCCGCCTCTTAAACGTAGTGATTATATTCTCTTTGACAGTAGGTACACTATGAGTGTTTTTCTATTTATATAATTACTAGCTCGCCAGGAAAACGTTGTTCTGCTCTTTCCAACGACCCTTCCTATAAATTCGCAATAAAAAATTTTGAGGGTCATTTATCGTGATAAAAACTATCCTATCTCTCAAGTTGGACCAAAATGCACACAGTGTGCAAAATTTCATTGAAATCAGTTCAGTAGTTTAGGAGTACATCGCGTACAAACAACGTGACACGTAATTTTTATATATAAAGACTAGCTGTTCCCCGCGACTTCACCCGCGTGTTATTTAGGGTTTTAATTATATTGCGCGGAACCCTAATTATTTTTCTAAAATATAAGTAGCCTAAGTTACTCCTTATACAGCGGCTATCTGAAAGTGAAAGTCCCGTCGAATTCGGTCCAGCCGTTACAGAGATTAGCCGGAACACATAGACAGACAGGCAGACAAAAATTTAAAAAATGTGTTTTTGATATAAGAACCGTATACACTTCCATATGCATTTAGTTAAAAGCTGTTACGCTTAGCTTTCCATTGACTCCCGTCGAGTTGGGGGTTGATACGTATTTTTACAGAAAAGTTACACTATTATAAGCACATACACATAGTTACAACATGCGTACATGGAAACGCGTCATTTTTGAGAAAAAAGTTATAGAAAATCAATTATTCTTGCATTGTTTATATCTAATCCTACCATAAAACTGACGCCATTTTGTAATGTCATTGTCGTCAGTAGGGATGTCGATTCTTTCCGAAAAAGGTCGATTTCTTGTTTTTCATAAAATGGATTTATATTTACATTATAAATGCAAACATGAAAGAAATATAAATATTTTAGAAATCGATTTTTTGGGAATCGATACAATTCTAATCTATTTAAAAAATCGATCTTTTTCGGAAAGAATTGACATCCCTACTGACAATAACAATAACAAATGGCGTCAGTTTTCTTCATAGATTTAGAATGTACTACTACTATGGTTTTATTGTAGGATTAGACATAAACAATGCAAGAATAATTGATTTTCAATAACTTTTTTCTCAAAAATTACGCGCTTCCGCATGTTGTAACTTTGTGTGTGTGCTTATAATAGTGTAACTTTTCTGTAAAAATACGTATCATCCCCCAACTCGACGGGAGTCAATGGAAAGCTAAGCCTAACAGCTTTTAACTAAATGCATATGGAAGTGTACACGGTTTTTATAACAAAAACACATTTTTTTAAATTTTTGTCTGTCTGTCTGTCTATGTGTTCCGGCTAATCTCTGTAACGGCTGGACCGAATTCGACGGGACTTTCACTTTCAGATAGCCGATGTATAAGGAGTAACTTAGGCTACTTAGCAGGCAAAATCGCTGGAGGACCTAAGCACCATGCTCAATGACCTCAATAGTGTCTCCCAACGGATAGGTCTTAAGATGAACATGGACAAAACAAAGATCATGTTTAATGTCCATGTCACACCTATGCCGGTAGTTGTTGGGAACACTAAGCTCGAAGTTGTTGACGAGTATGTTTACCTGGGACAAATAGTCCGACTAGGTAAGTCCAACTTCGACCGAGAGGTCATTCGATGGATTCAACTCGGTTGGGCAGCGTACGGGAAACTACGACACATCTTCTCGTCAGACATACCTCAAAACCTTAAAAGAAATTGCACAACCAGTGCGTGTTGCCAGTCATGACTTACAGATCTGAGACGTGGTCCTTCACTGCTGGCCGTATGAGGAAGCTCAAGGTCGCTCAGCGAGCTATGGAGAGGGCTATGCTCGGGGTGTCTCTGCGTGATAAACTTAGAAATGAGGATATCCGCAGTAGAACCAGAGGAACCGACATAGCCCAACGGATTAGTAAGCTGAAGTGGCAGTGGGCCGGCCATATAGCTCGAAGAACCGACAACCGATGGGGAAGAAAGTTTCTAGAGTGGCGGCCTCGTACCGGTAGGCGAAGTGTAGGGCGACCCCTCACGAGATGAAGTGACGACCTGGTAAGACATGCAGGAAGTCGATGTATGCAGCTGGCTCAGGTCCGTGCTTTGTGGCATTCCTTGGGGGAGGCCTATGTCCAGCAGTGGACTTATGAAAGGCTGTAATGATGATGATGATTATTATTATTAATTATATTATATATTAAGACAGACACCTTATCTTGAGAATCATATTGTTACGAGCTTGAGGTTCGAGACAATTAAAACTGCCGATTGAATTACCAAAATTGACACTTTAATTACACAACACTAATTACAATCTAAAATCACACTAATAATAAAACACAGTTCGCCGTTATTTCGCTTCGAAGTATTCTCTTGTATCGCCAATTCAATACTGCCCCGGTCGTGGTCTATACCGGCCTTATATAGGGCCTCAGATAGTTTCCAGAACCTTCTACTGTAGCGACATCTAGAATGTTCGAGTACATATCGGTCCCGAAATTTCTGGAAGGATCTCGACTCTCCTAGTTCTGCTACTCGACACTAGAGGGTGCTAGTGTAACTAGTGTTGCCATGTACAAGACATTAATAGTGGCGCGCAATACTTTCATTTACTCGACACTAGAGGGCGCTAGTGTAACTAGTGTTGCCATGTACAAGATATTAATAGTGGCGCGCAACACTGCCCCCTCCTAAGACATGCTCGTCCCGAGCATTATTGGCCCCATAATAACGCGCCAGTCGATCCACATGGACAATCTTAGGAGTACCTCTGGCACCTTTCTGTATCCGGTAGGTTACATCATTGATCCTTGTCACAATCCGGTACGGTCCGTCCCATTTAGCTTGAAGCTTAGGAGATTTCCCTTTGCTGCGAACTGGATTGTGTAACCACACTAGTGAACCTTCATCGAAGCCCTTGTTGTTCATTTTGCGGTCATACCGTGTTTTCATCTTCTCAGACGTTTGCTGGCCCGTCTGTCTGACGTGCTCATAAATGTCATTCATTTTGTTCCGCAAGTCATTTGCATAATCGGTTATACTGCGTGGGGCATCAGGTGGTATTCCGGTGATCAGGTCTGCAGGCAGCCGCAATTCTCTCCCAAAGCTTGCGAAAGCTGGTGTCACTGATGTACTTTCGTGAACAGCGCTTCGATATGACAACAAAAACGGTTGTATGTGCCTGTCCCAGTCTCGTTGCCGTTTTTCCACAACTTTTGCTAGGTACCTCTCCAATGTCTGATTAAATCTTTCTACCATTCCATCAGATTGTGGGTGGTAAGAAGTTGTTCGTGTTTTCTGAGTACCCATAACTCGGCAAGTTTCCTGGAATATTTGAGACTCAAAATTCCTTCCTTGATCGCTGTGAATCTCTAAAGGTACTCCAAAACGACAGAAGACTTCATGAACTAGTTTATCTGCAACTGTTGAAGCTTCTTGATTTGGAATGGCGAAGACTTCTGGCCACTTAGTGAAGTAATCCATCACTACCATGAAATACTTGTTACCACTCTCAGTTTCTGGAAACGGCCCCGCAACGTCAATGGCTATCCTCTCCCATGGTGCACCAACATTGTACAATTTCAATGCGCCTCTACTACGAATTTGAGGTCCCTTTACAGCCGCACAACTTGTACATTTGCGGCACCAGTCCTCGACATCGTCACGACAGTGGACCCAGTAAAACCGTTCTCGGATCTTCAGGAGAGTTCGCTTAACTCCCAGGTGGCCTCCTGAACAACCACTATGGTACAGCTGTAGGACATCCGGTACTTTAGCCTTAGGGACAACCATTTGCAAATGACACCTGTCTCCCCGACCATTTTCCCATTTACGGCACAGGACTCCATCCTGAATCAGCATGCTGTCCCATTGGGCCCAATAGCTTTTCGTGGTCGAACTCATTGCTGAGACGTCGCTCCACTTGGGCTTAGGAGCACTGGCCTTCATCCATTCCAGAATCGGCTTAATGTCCGAATCTTCCTGCTGTGCATGTTGTAGGCTGTCCTTCCATTCATTGCTGAGCTGGTCTGTCCTGAATATCCTCGCAGATACCACTTCTTTACCCTCTTGTCTAGTACAATGCTTGCAATCTTCAGGGCAAGGTCTTCTTGATAATGCATCTGCATTGCCATGAGATTTCCCGCTGCGATGTCCGATCACAAAGTCGTATTCCTGTAGTAGTTCAATCCATCTCGCAACTTGTCCTTCAGGATTCTTGAACTGCAATAGCCATTTCAGTGCAGCATGGTCAGTTCGTAAGTAGAATTTCCGCCCCAGGAGATATTTGCTAAAATGCTGCAAGGACTTTACCACAGCAAGCAATTCCCGTCTTGTGACACAATAGTTCCTTTCCGGCTTTGACAACGACTTGCTGAAGTACGCTATCACAATCTCTTGATCACCATTCCGTTGAGACAACACAACGCCAAGTCCTATATCACTTGCGTCTGTGTCAACTATGAATTCCTTGCCCGCATCAGGGTACCCCAAAATAGGTGTTTTGCACAGACGGTTCTTGAGCTCCTGGAATGCAATATCGCAACTTTCATCCCAGCAGAAATGTCGCTTCTCCTCGGTTAGCTTGTGCAGAGGTTTGGCTATATCTGCAAAGTTCTTCACAAATCGCCGATAATAAGAGCATAAACCCAAAAATGCTCTAACCTGTGTCTTGTCTTTTGGGACCGGCCACTCTTTGACAGCAGCAATTTTCTCTGGATCCGTGCGGATACCTTCTTCCGACACTACATACCCCAAAAAACTAACTTGCCGTTTGAATAGTGAGCACTTCTTTGGACTCAACTTGAGGTTGGCACTCTGGATCTTCATGAGCACACGTTCCAGGTTTTGAAGGTGTTCCTCAAACGTACGGCCTACGATGATGATGTCATCCAAATAGACCAGACAAGCATCTCCAATTAGCCCGGTAAGTACAAGCTCCATCAACCTTTCAAACGTTGCTGGAGCATTGCACAATCCAAACGGCATGACTTTGAATTGCCACGGACCCTTTCCTGTGGAGAATGCAGTTTTCTCCTTGTCCTTAGGGTCAATTTCAACCTGCCAGTAGCCACTTTTCAGATCTAGCGTACTAAACCACTTTACGCCTGTAAGCATGTCCAGCGTGTCATCAATTCTTGGCAAGGGATAGCTGTCCTTCTTTGTAACGTCGTTCAGGCGGCGATAGTCAACACAAAACCGCATGCTGCCGTCCTTCTTCTTTACCAGCACCACAGGTGAACACCATGGACTAGATGAAGGTTCAATAACACCATCCTTCACCATTGCCTCAATCATGGTTTCCACTTCCTTTTCACGTGCTACAGGCAATCTTCTTGGCCGCTGACGAATAGGCAATTCTTGTCCTGTGTTTATTTTGTGTTGAACTAAGCCAGTCTTTCCTATGTCAGCTTCGTTTGACGAGAAAACATTGACGTACTTGAGTAACAACTTCTTCGCCTTGACCATTTCATTCGGGGAAAGAACGCTGCGACAGTCTTCTAAAAGTGTGGTCACTATCGTTTATCCATCCTTGCTGGGGGTCCCGGTCGATAGATATTCGCATCGACGCAACCAATCCACTTCCTCACTAGTACCAATCATATTGTGCCTTTTTCTATAATCTGTTCCTGATCACAAAGGTTCAACACACGTACTCCTGAGATGTCGGTGGTTCTGACCAAGGTTCGAGCCACTTTCCATGGAAGGTCATTGTCTACCCTTTCCACGAGTACACAACGATGGGCTTGCCCAGGACTCCGAGGAAGACTAACCGGCACAATCGTTTCCGATCTCGGCGGAAGAACAATCTTCTTAAGGCTGTACACATTCCCTGGTAACGCCCCTTCCACGAAAAGTTCTTCTTGTCCACATTTCAAAACACCTTGCTTAACGTCGATCTCACAACAATTCTTCCTCATAAAGTCTAGGCCAAGGATGCAGTCGTCCATTATATCAGCCACGATGACATTATGCAGGTAGATCATGTTGCCTAGCTTCAACTCCATCTCCTTCTCTCCACGGACGGGTATGCGCTGACCGGTGGCTGTCACCAAATTAATGCGTTCTCGGTTGTATGCGGAGTCCCCAAGGAACCGACTTATAAGTTGGGAACTGACAACCGTGCGAGAGGCTCCAGTGTCTATGGTCAGTTTACACGGCGTTCCGTTGACTTCGCCCTTGATGATTAGGCTGTTCCCATCATGGGTTTGTGAGATCGAAATCCTTGGGGCTCTTTTAACATCAGCCAGCACCCGCCCCGCAGTCCTGGCTTTTACTCGTTTCCCTGCTGCTGCTGGGCGGTGCTATTATCCGCACTACCCTCTCGAGATCGATCACCTTCCCTTTCTACAGTTCGTTTAGGGCAGCTGGATCGAAGATGGCCCCTTTCCCCACAGCCGTAGCACCTAGGGTTGTAGCCCTTATTGCGGTCCTGAACTGTAGCTGCTGCAACCTCCCTGACGCGGTGGGAACGATGATTCTGCCGCACGGCTTCCACCTCCAGTGCATGGGTCAGGGCGTCCTTAAGCGTCTCGTGGTGCCCGAGCCTCACAGCAGCTCTGACTTCAAAGTCGCGGATGCCGTCGATGAAAGTCTGCACCAGGTTCCCTACAATGAGCACAGGTACAGACTGGTACGCTTTTCGAACCAGCTTCTCCACCTCAAGGGCCCACTGCTGCAGGTTTTCGTTACTGCGTTGCACGCGATCTTTGAGCTGCGCACGAAAGACGTGTTCCAGGTGAGCATCGCCATATCTCGCCTCCAATGCCTCAAGGAGCTGCTCGTAAGTAACTTCCTTACCGAGCGCTTCCAAAACAGTTAAGGCCTGGTCGCGTAGGCCTAGGGTGAGAGCAGTCATGGCCTGACTTTTATTCCAGCCGTTCGCTTTCATGACAGTCTCGAACTGGATTTTGTAGGCCGACCAGGAAGAACTCCCGTCGAACGGCGGCACTTTGAATCCACGTAGCGAAGGTGTTGTAGCTACCACGGGAGCTGTGATTCCATCCCCAAGTTTGAGGTCGTCCAGCGTTTTCTTCACATCAGCCATCACGTTGTCAACCCGATTGTTCACTTGGTCGATTCAGGTTTCAGCTTCCGACAGGCGGTTGTCATGTTGAGCAACCCTATCCTTCACCTCCTTTATCTCTTTCCCGAAGGTAGCGTGAAGGTCCTTCCTGAGGAGCATCTGTTCTTCCATACCGCGCTGCAGCTGCTCTTCCAGCCGACGGGTCTGTTCCTCCTGTCGGCGGGCCTGTTCCTCCTGTCGGCGGGCCTGTTCCTCCTGTCGGCGGGCCTGTTCCTCCTGTCGGCGGGCCTGTTCTTCCTGTCGGCGAGCCTGATCCTGCAGCATCATCATCAGAGCACCTAAGTCAGGTGCTGCAGATGCAGGAGCTACTGACGGGCCAGCCTCCGTGGTTAGCAACTGGCCCTCCGACGTTTGCGGCGTTGCATTACAAAATCTTCTCTGGTCCGTCTCCTGTTGGCGTTGACTTCGGGTACGGATACCCTCCGTGTCGCCTTTAGGTAAAATCGGCATATTTGATCCCACTTCTGACACCAATTGTTACGAGCTTGAGGTTCGAGACAATTAAAACTGCCGATTGAATTACCAAAATTGACACTTTAATTACACAACACTATTTACAATCTAAAATTACACTATAAATAGTGTTGTGTAATTAAAGTGTCAATTTTGGTAATTCAATCGGCAGTTTTAATTGTCTCGAATCTCGAATCTAAAATTACACTAATAATAAAACACAGTTCGCCGTTATTTAGCTTCGAAGTATTCTCTTGTATCGCCAATTCAATACTGCCCCGGTCGTGGTCTATACCGGCCTTATATAGGGCCTCAGATAGTTTCCAGAACCTTCTACTGTAGCGACATCTAGAATGTTCGAGTACATATCGGTCCCGAAATTTCTGGAAGGATCTCGACTCTCCTAGTTCTGCTACTCGACACTAGAGGGCGCTAGTGTAACTAGTGTTGCCATGTACAAGATATTAATAGTGGCGCGCAACACTTTCATTTACTCGACACTAGAGGGCGCTAGTGTAACTAGTGTTGCCATGTACAAGATATTAATAGTGGCGCGCAACAATATCATTGGTACATAGTGTACAATACAAAATAAAGGAGTTTTGACGGGAACTTGACCGGCGGCGGTTTGCTGCTACTGTATTAATGTTTAAATAACGGTTTGAAGTGGATATAGATTTGTAAAAGTGGTGTGATTTTGTATATTAAATGTCTACGCATGTTAACTATTAGTGTAAATGGTGAAACAAGTGCTCTGATTATGATGTGAATCTCAAGATAAGGTGTCTGGCTGCTTAGGCGCCTTGAGATACCACTGTCAACTGTCAGCTGTCTGTTGAGTCAAGTTGCCGTCAAAATCTCCCAAGGGCTGCACAATGTTTTTTTTTTTTAAAAAACATTACCCCCACACTATGATTTTCTCCTGTGTCGTGGAGGCAGTTTACAAACATAAATTGCACAAGGACAAACATCCAGACCCGGAACAATTATTTGTAGGCCATACAAATACTTGTTCCGTGCGAGATTCGAACCCGCGGCCCCCAGCGCAACAACTGATTGCTAAGCCACTGCGCCACGGAGCCGTCAACATATTGTGAAGCAGTGCAGTGCATGAAGAATCTATAGGAGTTACAATGTATAATACATTGTAACTTCAGGCTGAGAAAAGCTAGATCCCAGAGCCGTAAAGCCAGTTATAAAAAAACATATTTAAGGTTTATAATTATATAATTATAATTTATTGTATTGGTGTATATATTTCCTGTATAGGACAATTACTATACTCTTTGGTTTATATTTTGAACAATAGATTTTTATCTTGAATATATTACATACAAATTACAAATACAATTACATTCATAGAAGTTCTTCCACAGGTTTCTTCAGTAGATTTGAAAGTAAACTGCGTCAGCCTTCATACAATAGTAAAATATTTACACTACATATATTTATATTTTATTATTTTTAATACTATGGGTAAAAGATATTACTGTGATTATTGTGATAAAACTATGGTGGCGAGTCCTTCAATTGTTAGAACACACAACAAAGGAGTTGTTCATCAAAAATTGGTCAGTGACCACTACCAGAAATATAAAGGTAAAGCATTGATGTTGAAGATAAATGGAAAGTTACCCTATCAAAACAGCAAACCATATCATAAAATAGACTTACTTATCTTCACGCACAATCCCTGACGGGGTAGCCAGAGAGAACAGATCGCCAAGTGTCACGATCCTTACATATCTCTTTCGCTTCTTTCAGATTCATTATCTTCTTCATACATGCACGTCTAGGTATCCGAGTACTCTTGACCCTACCCTCTTCGAGCAATTTGCTCACATGGTCTTCGAAAGTTAGTCTCGGTCTACCTTGACACCTTTTAATATTAACTTTCGCGCTATATATTTTCTTCACCATTCGGTCTTCACTCATTCGCTCAACGTGCCCAAACCACCGAAGCACGCCCTTATCAATTTTTGTGATAAGGTCATCTTTCAAACCTGCCATATTGCGAATCTCTTCGTTTCGCTTTCGGTCGGCCATAGTAACGCCGCACATTTTACGAAGAGATCGCATCTCCACTGCATTCAACTTACTTTTATGCTTCTTCTGGCATACCCAGGTTTCGCTGCCATATAACAAAGTCGGTACCAACACTGCGTTATGTATTGTAAGGCGTGCACTCTTCGCTACGCCTTGCCTTTTGACTAACGCAGTCAGGGCACCATTGACTTTGTTCCCGGCAGCGACACGCCTGTCCACATCTAAATCACATCTTCCATCCCGGCTAAAAGCACTCCCCAAGTATATCATAAAATAGAGCTAACATAATAAGCAGGATAATGTGTGCATTATGCAAAAAAGTAAAGTGAAGATTTGCATAATTTTCTAATAGTTATGTGTCAAGTGAAACTAAATTTATTAGGTTATGAACTTGAATTCTTTATATAATATTTCCAATAAAAAGTGGTTACCCATATTCTCAATTAATATTTTAACACAATAATATTATTATTTATTAAGAGATTTTTTTACTTGATAATTTGAAAACTAGATAAAATTTGCAAAATTATTCCTTACATTGTAAACAGTTTTTTTTTACCAGGTTATGCATTTCATGCATTACCCATTACAGCATATCAAAAGTTCTTTGCTGAAAATTTGCCTCTCCCATAGATTGCCTTACAGGGAGGATGATTGCTGCTTTGAATTTTTTTTGTATTCCTCAAATTTTAGATACTTTGCAGCAACTATGGTCATTTCAAAGACATGTTAAGTTTGCCAACTTGCATTGAGGCAGCTTGGTGGACAATTCATTGCCTATCAAATCTGATGTAATGGTGGAGGCAATCCGGAACATGCTTACAGCTTCATTGATGCTTCAGAAATGTAGTCTGTGAACATGTGACATGGAAACGTTAAACACCTCAGGCCCCCGAGACCATGGGTGCTGTCAGTAATATAAAAATAATAAATGGCATAAAATGCATTAAAAACAAACCCTTGTAATTCAACAGGCAAAAGTTGTCTTGGAAAGATTAGCTTGATTTTTTTTAATAGAATTAGAGTGACAAACGAGCACACAGTCCACCTGATGGTAAGTGGTTGCTGTGGCCCATAGACACCTACATCTAGCTTTGCTTGCAAATTAAAATGCAGATGTGTAGTCAGCCGTGAGGACTAAGATAGAATGCCTCTTTTCCTGTAAAATAGGTCTCCGGTTCTCTACACTCACACAGCAGTATTAAGCTGCTATTTTACACTGGTATGCAGTGAGAGCGTGATGCTTCCCCGGTTGAACTGACCCATTCGTGCTACAATTATAATATAGCTGCACCTGCTTTACTATGTATAAACTTCAGTTTTATAAAAAACATCCTCAAAATAAGAAGTATTTCATGGACTCCTTGCACATCAACACTTGAGCAGTGTAATAAGACCTGTGCCCACACTGCTCAAGTGGAGGTTTTTAAGGATGTTTCTATAGGCTTAATTTTATTTTAAATTTTTTTTTAAGTAATTTAATAAAATGTACTCTTATAATTTAGTGTGTCTTAGTTTTAAAGTATCATATTTTTAACTTTCAGATCCTAAGACTATACTTAGAGAAGAAAGCAATAAAAAGCCATGTGTTAGATTTGCAAGAGGTGAATGCCAGTTTGGAGGAATTTGTCGTTTTTCGCATTATACACAAGAACAGATTAATGCCTTAAAACAATATGGTAAGTAGATATTAAAGCAATAAATTATATAAACATAGGAATTGTTGAGATTATATCCTGTTACCCGACGTACAGGATTATCCTAGTTCAGATATTTATTAATATAGACTATTTTAAAGTTATTGAAATCATAACTAATTTACAGCATTTTTTTTTTATTGTTTAAGGTGATACCTCGAAAATTAGGTGGTTTTTCTATTTCATATATTTCTTTAAGTTTTATAGATTACAAAACAAGTTTTCGGTTTATTATTTTTGACTATATGACCTTGGATTGCTAAAAGGATAAAAGGAAAACATGACAACATGTAATTTCTTGATAGAACAAAATTGTAAATTAGGCTCCAATTAGTAAATATTTTTATGAATAAGTTGATGGCATTATTTTTGAAGCACAGTAAATAGTCTTAAGTTCACATAAATCATTTCAATTTTTTGTAACAAAACATGTTTGGCGCTTACGAAATTTATTTCTGAGTGCTTGCTCCGTACAGCTATCTCATAATTTATGTACATGAAATACATTACATCACTTTCATTTTGACATTCCCTCAGTCGTCGATGAGCTACAAAAGTGGACTACTGTTATAGGCTGTAATGGAATATCTTAATCAAATCAAATGGAAAAAAAAACTGTGTGTGGTGTGTGTGTGTGGTGTGTGTGTGTGGTGTGTGTGTGTGGTGTGTGTGTGTGGTGTGTGTGTGTGGTGTGTGTGTGTGTGGTGTGTGTGTGTGGTGTGTGTGTGTGTGGTGTGTGTGTGTGGTGTGTGTGTGTGGTGTGTGTGTGTGGTGTGTGTGTGGTGTGTGTGTGTGGTGTGTGTGTGTGGTGTGTGTGTGTGGTGTGTGTGTGTGGTGTGTGTGTGGTGTGTGTGTGTGTGTGTGTGTGTGTGTGTGTGTGTGTGTGTGTGTGTGTGTGTGTGTGTGTGTGTGTGTGTGTGTGTGTGTGTGTGTGAGTGTGCGCATGCGTGCGTGCGTGCGTGTACGTGCGTTTACGTGCGTGTGCATGGTGTGTGTGTGTGTGTGTGTGTGTGTGTGTGTGTGTGTGTGTGTGTGTGTGAGTGTGTGTGTGTGTGTGTGTGTGCGCGTGCGTGCGTGCGTGCGTACGTGCGTGAGTGTACGTGCGTTTACGTGCGTGTGCATGCGTTTGTGCATGTGCGTGCGTCCAAGTGCGTGTGTGCGTGTGCGTGCGTGTACGTGCGTGTTCGTGCAAGTGCGTGCGTGTGCGTTCGTGTGTGCGTGTGGGTGAGTGTACGTGCGAGTGCTTGCGTTTGTGCATGTGCGTGCGTGCGTGTGCGTGCGTGTGTGCGTGCAAGTGCGTGTACGTGCAAGTGCGTGCGAGCGCTTGTGTGTGTGTGTGTGTGTGTGTGTGTGTTGCCAGTACTCATGTGGAATAGAATAGAAAAGAATAATTTCTATTCAATTTTAATTACATGAATAATAAAGGTTCTGAAATGTGTTTTGAGATGAGGTAGTAAGGAAGTTCGTCACACTGCAAGTTATAGAGAGGGCTATGCTTGTAGTTTCTCTGTGTAAAATAATAATAGTGTCGGACTTATGGTACTCCAATGGCCAATATGTCTGCCAAGCATGACAATTAATATAATTATCCCTACAATAGGAGAGGCCCACGTCAGACGGTTCGTTACAATGAGTGCCTCTCTGCCGTGAGTGCCTATCTACACAATATAATTACTGCCGTCGCAGTAATTATATTGTGTAGCCGTAGGTGGTCGGACTTTAAGTTCTTCGCGTTTAGCATCGAGATCTTGTACGAATTTGGCTTTGAAAGTGTTGATGTTTTGTTTTACAAGTCGCTTCCATTTTTGCCGGCCTTTAGCAAGGTACTTCCAAGAAGAAGGCTCGATATTGCATTTTTTCATGTGCCTCTTTAATGCATCCTTATATCTTAGAAATTGTCCGCCTTGCTTGCGCTTGCCTTCTTGAAGCTCACGGTACATGACGCGTTTAGCCACTCTGTTGTCAGCCATCCGAAATACATGGCCACACCAAGGCAATTGCTGCTACATCACGAGCGCCTCGTATACCCATGACATTGCAGAGACATTGAATATGGAATCTATCCAGAATTCGTATGTACTTGCGATACAAACACAGACTCAGAAGAATATAAAAGGTTCGGCAGAACAACCGCCTTATAAGACTGCTATCTTAGTAGGTAACCTGAGATCATGTGAACGGAAAACCTTGGCTCTGAATTTTTCTAAACCAGTTAATGCAGCACCGATTCTTTCATTAATTTCAGCTTCAAGATCACATTTAGATGTTATTATGCTTCCCAAGTACTTAAACTTCTCTACAGATTTCAGAACGGCCTGATTGAGCTAGATCCGTAAAGAGTCAGAATGGGAGCCCGTAGCTATCACTTCGGTCTTTGTCACACTGACTTTGAAGCCAAACTTACGGTATGACTCACCAAGACAACTCATCAGTCGTTGTAAAGAATTTGGGGAATCCGTCACAAAATAAATCATTTGCGTACATAATTTCCGTTATTACGTCGCAAGTCACTTTAGACTGACGGCAGTCTATTTAAACTAAGAAGCTGGCTATCGGTGCGGTAACGAATACGTATGCCTTCCTGCAGAGTATGTACAGCATCCCCGACAACCACAGCGAAGTAGAGAGCAAACAACGTTGGTGCCAGGACACAACCTTGTTTGACACCGCAGGTAATAGGGCAAAATTCTGTTCGTTCACCGTTTATGGAAACGCAGCAACTCATAGGGCAAAATTCTGTTTGTTCACCGTTTACGGAAACGCAGCAAGTCATTCCATCGTGTAGAAGCCTCAATACACGTATATACTTTTCCGGACAACCCAATTTTACCAAAATCATCTATAACACTTCACGAGGTGTGCTATCAAACGCTTTTTCCAGATCGACAAATGAAAGGAACATCGGCCGATGCTGCTCGCGACTTTTTACCTGCAGTTGACATACGCAAAAGATAGCTTAACAAGTACCCCTTCCCTTAGACGGAAACCAAATTGGGTTTCTGGTAACAACGCTAGGAATAGGAATGACTCGGTTGAGCAGCACCCTAGCAAATACTTTTCCAGGTGTAGAAAGGAGCGACACACCTAGATATGAATTACAGTCAGATCTTTCACCTTTATTTTTATATAAAGAGCAAATTGGCGATATCTTAAATACGGATAAAACTTGTTCTTCACACCACATCCGGACAAAAAGTTTCCATATCGTAATGTATAGCTCCTCTCCTCCATACTTCAATAAATCGCCAGGTACACAGGACTGTGATTTTGTCCTATCAAAATTACAGCTAACTTCTCATCATTCTCATCACACCAGTCCTCGTGAAAACGCTTTTTCAGGCCCAAGACTTGCGTTCCTACAGACACTATATGAGAAGAGAGAGTGTTCCCATCAGGTTCCTTACTTATTGCCTCAGTAAAGAGAAACTAGTAGGTCTTGCTCTGCAAGCCCTCCGCGGAGGGCGCAATCGAAGTTCGAGTCTAGATACCACTAGTCGATGATCGGTCCAACAGTTAGCTCCACGCGTGACACAAGTTACTTTGACTTGGGAGATGTCTTTATGTCGAACGATCGCGTAGTCTATTAAAGGTCGTTAAATATTGGCATTTGATACACTTTGATAACACTTGTATTTTAAAATGATACCCTGAATAAGACTTTGCCCTTGTATTGTGGTTGTATTTTATATACATAAAGTGCACATGGACAAACATCCAGACCCCTTACAATAATTTGTAGGCCATACCAACAATTACATTTCTAATTTCTTTTTCAGTTGCAGCGCAAGAGAGTACCAAGTTAAATGCTGACCAGCCGTCCTTTGAGGATTTGTATCAAAAACTGCAAACTGAGAAGACCACAAAATCTCAGACCAATGGGGGAACAGCAATGTATGATTATAATGGAGTTACTCACGTCTTCCCTTGGGTCTATAATCCAGTTTTTGATAGTTTCGGTGACAGTTTGCCACCTAGCCTGAAAAGACTTCAAATTGATGACTTTTTGAATACTACCTTTACTGACTGGGGCTGATAGATGACTGTTGTAAATGACGTTATGAGATAATATCAAAAAATGAGTGACATTTTTAACAAAATAATTAACAACAAAGTATGAATATTGGCAGTATGAACTTAAACAATTGTTTTATTGGAACGAAGTTCCTAATAGCACGGTACGGGTTTGGCGGATGGGAGCTAGGCGACAAAAATTGTAAGATATTTTCGTCACTACCCCTTGTATCATAGTGTGCAAAAAATGTTTATTTGTTAATCAATAATATAATACGTTTATCAATAATAATATACTACGAAAGGAACTTTGTTCCAACCGAGTGTTCCACGACAATCACACATGTTTTTTTTTTAATTTCATTTTATTTGTAACACATATTATTTATATAGAGTAGCTTTCTGTACTCTTCTTCCATATACATTTTAACTATGCCAAATTTCACACTCCTCCGTGCGTTCAATTGTTCAAATATATAGATAAAAAATATAATAAAATTTAAGTTAATTATCTTATCCGATGCGTTTTATTTGCCTTTTAAACCTCATTCATGCTTTGATATTTAATCCATATTCAATTATAGAAGCAGATAATTAAAAAAAAAATTGTCATTTGAAGTGATCTTTAAAGTTATAGTTTTTTTATGATGCCACCAGTAATCAGAATGATTGTCACGGTCAATATTCAAAATAAGTTTAATATATCTCTCTTCTCTTTAGACACAAACTGTCCACTGCTACAAATGTATATTTACACGGCACCCATTTTTAACTTCACTTTCAGTTGTAAAGGGTATCTTTTTCTTTCTTATATTAACGTACGATGGTCATATTGAAATAGTATACAACTGGATATGTAGTTGGTAATGAATAGTCATCAAATGGATAGGTACTTAATAGCGTAGGTATATTTTTTTGCATGAACCCTTTTAAATATTGATGCTGTTTTTATTTACTTTTAAGTAAAAAGTAAAAGCTGATTTCGAAGACTAAAAAGAAAAAAAACCACATCACCTTCTGAAGATGGAGCTTACCTTATTTTTTACTTCTTATTAAAAGTTTTTTTTTGACACGAGTTAAATGTCTAAACAGTTACTTCAAGAACTTCATCCCCTATTTTTTTCACCAAATTTATATGAAATTTTTATACTTTATCATCATTATTACAGCCGTTCTTCAAAAGTCAAAAGTTTTCTACGTGGTAGAGCCATGCTGCAGCTATATTAATAGTATAGTTGTAGCAGGAATGGGTCGGCTCGACCGGGGAAGGATCACGCTCTCACAATACCAGCGTAAAATAGCAGCTTAATGCTGCTGTGTTTCGCATGGTAAGTGTAGAGAACCGGGGACCCTTTTTACTGGAAAAGAGGCATTCTATCTTAGTCCTCACGGATGACAACGCATCTGCATTTTAATTCGCAAACGAAGATAGATGCAGATGTCTATGGGCCACAGCTACCACTTACCATCAGGTGGACTGTGGGCTCGTTTGTCACCCTAATTCTATAATAAAAAAGTCATCCCCCAATGAATGCCACAAAGCACGATTTTTACGTGGTAGAGCCATGCTATAGCATTATTATGGTTCCAGCACGAATAGGTCGGCTCGACCGGGGTAGGACCACGCTCTCACAGAATACCAGCGTAAAATACCAGCTTAACACTGCTGCTGTGTTTCGTATGGTGAGTGTAGAGAACCGGAGACCCTATTTACTGGAAACGAGGCATTCCATCTCAGTTCTCAGGGGTGGCGGCGCATCTGCATTTTGATTCATAATTGAGGATAAATGTAGATATCTATGGGCCACAGCATCCACTTACCATCGGGTGGACTGTGTGCTCGTTTGTCACCCTTATTCTATAAAAAAAAAACGATCCTGAGCCACCTGCATCCATCGATTTCCTGTATGTCTTACAAGGGCATCGCTTCTTCTAGTGGCCATAGATGATAACTGTGACAAAATATGGGCAGCGACATCTTTACGAAAACAGCAGTATTACAATTTAAAAAAAACTGCGGTTACCAACCTGCTCGCCAAGCGTTGCCAGCCAAAGAAAACATCCCTCTATGAGCAACGACACAAATTATTTACTTAATAAGAGAAAAATCACTTTAAAATAGACGAAGATTTCGCATAACATATATAACAAAAAAGTAGTCAAATTGTGAACGTCTCCCTTAAGTCGGCTAAAAATTATTATTTGATTTTTGAGTACAAATTTATATTTCATAATACACCAAAATGAAATGTATTCTCATCTTTAAGATAACTATTCCTAGTATTCAATCAATATCTTAAATTATTTTAACACATTTATTTGTCGTAGTTAATAATAGTGTCATAGTTTCCTTATTCTGAAACGCTTCGATGTCTTTGTAGGCGACAGTTTAATGTTTTTCTTAGCACGAACAATAAGAGGTGGATAATTGATGAATCTAAACTCCTCTGGAACTTCGTATCGTATGTTTTCTGTCTATAAAGAGATGGTATGTTTAGTCAAATTATTTATTTATTGTGTTTTAATTGTAGTTAAGTTAGTTAAGAAGTTTTCTCCCTCGCACAACTTACTTGTGTTATCGATTACCACCAGCTATTTTTCCTGACCGATACGTCTTAGGGACCTTCAAGAAAAGAGCGTACTCCTTTTTAAAAGGCCGGCAACGCATCTGCAATTCCTCTGGTGTTGCAGTTGTTCATGGGCGGCAGTAGTCACTTACCATCAGGTGAGCCGCATGCTCGTTTGCCCCCTCTTCTATAAAAAAAGTTATATTTCCACAATTTTAACAAAAAAAAATCCAACACTGGAGGTAAAAATAGATGTTACAGTTTTAATGTAACCATTTAGACGACTTGTTGTTGACGAGCTTGTGATATTCCTAGTCAAAAAAATAATACACTTTTAATAAAAGATTTTATATACATAAAGTGCACATGGACAAACATCCAGACCCCTTACAATAATTTGTAGGCCATACCAACAATTACATTTCTAATTTCTTTTTCAGTTGCAGCGCAAGAGAGTACCAAGTTAAATGCTGACCAGCCGTCCTTTGAGGATTTGTATCAAAAACTGCAAACTGAGAAGACCACAAAATCTCAGACCAATGAGGGAACAGCAATGTATGATTATAATGGAGTTACTCACGTCTTCCCTTGGGTCTATAATCCAGTTTTTGATAGTTTCGGTGACAGTTTGCCACCTAGCCTGAAAAGACTTCAAATTGATGACTTTTTGAATACTACCTTTACTGACTGGGGCTGATAGATGACTGTTGTAAATGACGTTATGAGATAATATCAAAAAATGAGTGACATTTTTAACAAAATAATTAACAACAAAGTATGAATATTGGCAGTATGAACTTAAACAATTGTTTTATTGGAACGAAGTTCCTAATAGGACGGTACGGGTTTGGCGGATTGGAGCTAGGCGACAAAAATTGTAAGATATTTTCGTCACTACCCCTTGTATCATAGTGTGCAAAAAATGTTTATTTGTTAATCAATAATATAATACGTTTATCAATAATAATATACTACGAAAGGAACTTTGTTCCAACCGAGTGTTCCAAGACAATCACACATGTTTTTTTTTAATTTCATTTTATTTGTAACACATATTATTTATATAGAGTAGCTTTCTGTACTCTTCTTCCATATACATTTTAACTATGCCAAATTTCACACTCCTCCGTGCGTTCAATTGTTCAAATATATAGATAAAAAATATAATAAAATTTAAGTTAATTATCTTATCCGATGCGTTTTATTTGCCTTTTAAACCTCATTCATGCTTTGATATTTAATCCATATTCAATTATAGAAGCAGATAATTAAAAAAAAAATTGTCATTTGAAGTGATCTTTAAAGTTATAGTTTTTTTATGATGCCACCAGTAATCAGAATGATTGTCACGGTCAATATTCAAAATAAGTTTAATATATCTCTCTTCTTCTCTTTAGACACAAACTGTCCACTGCTACAAATGTATATTTACACGGCACCCATTTTTAACTTCACTTTCAGTTGTAAAGGGTATCTTTTTCTTTCTTATATTAACGTACGATGGTCATATTGAAATAGTATACAACTGGATATGTAGTTGATAATGAATAGTCATCAAATGGATAGGTACTTAATAGCGTAGGTATATTTTTTTGCATGAACCCTTTTAAATATTGATGCTGTTTTTATTTACTTTTAAGTAAAAAGTAAAAGCTGATTTCGAAGACTAAAAAGAAAAAAAACCACATCACCTTCTGAAGATGGAGCTTACCTTATTTTTTACTTCTTATTAAAAGTTTTTTTTTTGACACGAGTTAAATGTCTAAACAGTTACTTCAAGAACTTCATCCCCTATTTTTTTCACCAAATTTATATGAAATTTTTATACTTTATCATCATTATTACAGCCGTTCTTCAAAAGTCAAAAGTTTTCTACGTGGTAGAGCCATGCTGCAGCTATATTAATAGTATAGTTGTAGCAGGAATGGGTCGGCTCGACCGGGGAAGGATCACGCTCTCACAATACCAGCGTAAAATAGCAGCTTAATGCTGCTGTGTTTCGCATGGTAAGTGTAGAGAACCGGGGACCCTTTTTACTGGAAAAGAGGCATTCTATCTTAGTCCTCACGGCTGACAACGCATCTGCATTTTAATTCGCAAACGAAGATAGATGCAGATGTCTATGGGCCACAGCTACCACTTACCATCAGGTGGACTGTGGGCTCGTTTGTCACCCTAATTCTATAATAAAAAAGTCATCCCCCAATGAATGCCACAAAGCACGATTTTTACGTGGTAGAGCCATGCTATAGCATTATTATGGTTCCAGCACGAATAGGTCGGCTCGACCGGGGTAGGACCACGCTCTCACAGAATACCAGCGTAAAATACCAGCTTAACACTGCTGCTGTGTTTCGTATGGTGAGTGTAGAGAACCGGAGACCCTATTTACTGGAAACGAGGCATTCCATCTCAGTTCTCAGGGGTGGCGGCGCATCTGCATTTTGATTCATAATTGAGGATAAATGTAGATATCTATGGGCCACAGCATCCACTTACCATCGGGTGGACTGTGTGCTCGTTTGTCACCCTTATTCTATAAAAAAAAAAACGATCCTGAGCCACCTGCATCCATCGATTTCCTGTATGTCTTACAAGGGCATCGCTTCTTCTAGTGGCCATAGATGATAACTGTGACAAAATATGGGCAGCGACATCTTTACGAAAACAGCAGTATTACAATTTAAAAAAAACTGCGGTTACCAACCTGCTCGCCAAGCGTTGCCAGCCAAAGAAAACATCCCTCTATGAGCAACGACACAAATTATTTAATAAGAGAAAAATCACTTTAAAATAAACGAAGATTTCGCATAACATATATAACAAAAAAGTAGTCAAATTGTGAACGTCTCCCTTAAGTCGGCTAAAAATTATTATTTGATTTTTGAGTACAAATTTATATTTCATAATACACCAAAATGAAATGTATTCTCATCTTTAAGATAACTATTCCTAGTATTCAATCAATATCTTAAATTATTTTAACACATTTATTTGTCGTAGTTAATCATAGTGTCATAGTTTCCTTATTCTGAAACGCTTCGATGTCTTTGTAGGCGACAGTTTAATGTTTTTCTTAGCACGAACAATAAGAGGTGGATAATTGATGAATCTAAACTCCTCTGGAACTTCGTATCGTATGTTTTCTGTCTATAAAGAGATGGTATGTTTAGTCAAATTATTTATTTATTGTGTTTTAATTGTAGTTAAGTTAGTTAAGAAGTTTTCTCCCTCGCACAACTTACTTGTGTTATCGATTACCACCAGCTATTTTTCCTGACCGATACGACTTAGGGACCTTCAAGAAAAGAGCGTACTCCTTTTTAAAAGGCCGGCAACGCATCTGCAATTTCCCTGGTGTTGCAGTTGTTCATAGGCGGCGGTAGTCATTTACCATCAGGTGAGCCACATGCTCGTTTGTCTCCTCTCCTATAAAAAAAAAGTTACCACGTATCAATACATAGTAATATTGTATTACTAGTCCGTTACGGCCTACAGATTTATTATATAGAATAAGTGTTGCACGAATGGGTCTGAATGGGTCTTCTCGACCGGGAAAAACAATGCTCTCACAGAATACTAGCGTGAATTAGCAGCTTGATGTTGCTGTGTTTCGTATTGTGAGCATGGAGAGCCGGAGACCCATTTTATGGAAAAGAGGCATTCCATCTTAGTCCTCACGGGTGACGACGCATCTGCATTTTGATCCTTTATTGAGAATAAATGTAGATGTCTATGAGGCACAGCCACCACTTACCATCAGATGGACTGTGCGCTCCTTTATCACAGTTATTTTATAAAAAAAATAACTATTTATTTTCAGCAGTAGAATGAAGTGCAGGCTGTTGAAAATGCTTGATGGCTAAGGAGCTAAACGTTCGCGGTCGCCGTTCATATTATGCAGTCAATTAATAGTTCAATTCTTTAGTCGTTAACTTTGCTGCTCCGGCATCGCATCAGCTTCAACAAGCGTCTTGCAACCCAACTTTTTATAGAAGAGTTACTATAAGTAAGTAGGTTACTATTTCGCTCATGAACAACTTTATCACCAAAGAAATTGCAGGTACGTTGCTGGTCTTTTTATACGTGGTAGAACCATGCTGCAGCTATATTAGTAGTATAGTTACAGCACGAATGGGTCGGCTCGAACGGGGAAGGACCACGCTCTCAAAGAATACCAGCGTCAAATAGCAGCTTAAAACTGCTGTGTTTCGTATGGTGAGTGTAGAGAACCGGAGACCCTTTTTACTGGAAAAGAGGCATTCCATCTTAGTCCTCATGGGTGACAACGCAACTGCATTTTGATACGCAAACGAGGATAAATGTAGATGTCTATGGGCCACAGCAACCACTTACCAACAGGGGGACTGTGTGCTCGTTTGTCACCCTATCCTATAAAAAAAGCAGTAGGATTTTCTATTGTTTGTTGAGCAGTCTCATCATCATTATCATAACAGCCTATCTATAGTCCAGTGCTGAACAAAGTCAGTGTCTTCCTATTATCTCTTACAACGCCTGTGGAATGATATGACGTAGTGGATATTAGTAAACAGAAAGCAGTGTACCACGCAAATATATCACGCAGGCTTATCGAAGTATACCAATGTCGTTACCGCGTTCATGTACTTGATTCAACATAATATGATAACATACATTGCAATAAATAATTACGGGCAAGCACCTATTGCAACATAACCTTCTTTGTCAGCCCGTAAGAAAATTTCTCCTATAAAAAAAGTTCAATGCTGGACGTGAAACACACCCGTTACCCCGTACCCTTTTGCCTTAATCTTCAAGCTCGACTGACGAATTATCAATCGCAGTGCCAGAACTGTCTCACTTTTAACTATTGAATATTTTATCTATCGGAAAATATTTATGGCATTTCCCATAGGCATTTCTTACGACACCCACGGAACGAAATGAGGTGATTAATTCGCCACACTATCAGAAGACAATATAAAAAAAAATTAGTTGAAAAATAAAATTTTAAATTAATATTTATTGGAGAGATAAAGTAACGGTTGGTTTTTCTTGTATTTCACGATGTCGATATGCGTTTGACAGTGTAGAGCCTTTGTAAAAATGCACATTTACCTGAATAAACAATGTTATAAAAACAACTAATATCAAAACACCATATTCCATGCTCGTTTACTCGTACAGTAACTTCTAGTTCCATATATTAAAGTTTTTCAGTTTATATCAAATAACTATAAATTTTATAGATATTTGATACGACAAAACAAGGTATAATGTAATCCATATATACATTTCAAAATGAAATATTTTTTTATATGATAAGGATAACAAACGAGCACACAGTCCACCTGATGGTAAGTGGTTGCTGTGGCCCATAAACATCTACATCTATCCTCGATTACGAATCAAAATGCAGATGCGTTGTCACCCGTGAGGACTAAGTTGGAATGCCTCGTTTCCAGTAAAAAGGGTCTCCGGTTCTCTACACTCACCATACGAAACACAGCAGCGTTAAGCTGTTATTTTACGCTGGTATTCTGTGAGAGCGTGGTCCTTCCCCGGGCCGAGCCGACCCATTCGTGCTACAACCATAACAGCTGCAGCTTGGCTCTACCGCGTAAAAACGTGGTTAGTATTGAACGCCAAGTATGGCAACTATGGTTAATGTCCCCATTTAAGAGCTAAGTTATGATAAAGCCTATGTTCAGCAGTGGA